CCATCCAATAACAGTATAATTTTCTTGCATCCACTTTTCATATGATGGATCATCTTCCGGAGGAGCCTTTTTGCTCCCGGAGATAAAACCCCATTTGCCTCTACTACAAATATGAATTTTTACTGATTGTGACCAAGCCAGATAATTAGTTCCATCCAGCTTGACTGTGGTCACAACCAGTAGAGAGTCTACAGAGGCTCCTGGAACTTGTCCGGATTCAGCAACATGCTTGTTTTCAAAGTCTGAGGAGTTCATCTTCTTGAATACTTCAAAAATGACTTCAAACAACTTCGAATAACAACAAATGAAGACAAAACAAAAACTGTGTTGTGAGCCAACCTCTATGCAGCCGTACCAATAACCTGCGTCACACCCGGAAGCTGGGAGAAACAGAGAAAACTCAGCCGCTCCTTGTAGACTTCACAGAACACCAGTCCACTTGATTCGATCTTCAAGAATAAGAATGAGAAGGCCTTCAGTCACTGAGCGCCCATGTCAAACTCCCTGTGGGGTTTGCAATCAGATTTCTCCAGAAAATTAGGGTTTTGAGCAACACACTTGAATCTGTCAAGAGGATGACAAAACCAGTCCCCTTCTCTCCAGAAACCACTAACAACTGGGCTGAAATAGGTTTCTCTAACTATTCATACGATTCAGTTCTCCATACACACTGTGTATGGGAAAAAAAGGTGAAAAAAAGGGAAAAACGAGCCTGCTCTGATACCAAGAAGAAAAACAGCCTTTTGAGAAGAAAGTTGCAAAAATTCAAAAGAAAGTAGCAGAAATCAGAGTTCAAGAGGAGAGAAGAAGAAGAAAAAGAAGAAGAAGGTGGTGGCAACTTGGGTTTAGAGAGAGATTTTTCGAACATAATCTCTTCTCTTACTCCCTTAATTCTATTCCATTAAGTTAAACTTTAGTAATTTACAGAGAAGCCCCTAGTTGGGCAGAAAATTAAAAAGACATAACATAAGGAAGAATAAAGCCCATTACAGCAAAGAACATAAAAGATAAGAAAGGATAAACAGCCTATGGGCCATTCGGCCCATCTTCTCTACATAGATGTTTTACAATGCTTTAATTTCCACATCACAGAGAACAAAAAAGTAAGTTAGTATTAAGGATTTATTACTTTCAATCTAATACAAAAACTAATAATTTCCTTGCAATCATTTTAGTCACACCAAATAATAGTCTTTTTCAGAATAAAATTTCTTTATTTCATAGTTTATCTTTCTGAAAAAAAATCTTTATTTGCTGTTGCATTTTATAGGTGCAAGGGCAACTTAGTATATTGTTTGGTGGAGTTTTGAGTTTTGGTCTAGCACATTATCCTTCTTCAGAGTTTGAGCTTATGGCAGAAGAGCTTTTAATGAGTGATTCAGTAATCAAGGTAAGCTGCAAATCTTAGTTTTTACATCATGTTCTTACATGAGTAGTTAAGTGATGTAAATTTAATCACATCCTGATTAAGAAGCTTGATTTTTATGTGGGTGAATGATATGCAAATCCAATTATACCATAAATACACATCTAGATCACCTAGGGTGGGGTCTGCACAAATACAATGCACATTATGCAGGTATTCAAGTGTCAGTGCTATATTTCATCCACATTTACTTGCTTATTTCCTTACCCAGAATTCCTCCTTGTAATTTAATGGTGTTTTCTCATTGTTGACGTTGATAAAAAATTTCCCAATTCAACCAAAATCTATGTTTATTTGTTCACCAATCAAAATAAGTGTATTGTACTTTTATTAGTTCATATATTAATAAAGACAAGAAAGTATGTCCAACATTTATAGTACATACCTAGGAGATAGGAAAAACAAGGAAATGGAATATTCTCTAAAATATATTATACCATGTTTATTTTATTTTAATGTATTTGATGTAGTAATTCTATTTTGTGTTCTAATATAAATTTTAACTTAAGACAAAATTTTGACCAAAATTATTCTAAGGTGGTTAGTATGTTTTCTAAAGAGCAGATGTAGTTTTCACTAAATGTCTCAGGAAAACAAATTGAGTGGTGTTGATTCTGAGTCTGCTTCGAGACAGCTGCTGCGAAATAATAATGGAGTTGATGGAATCAGGTGGGGTGACCCTCCAGAAAATAGTGGATAGAGAGGTTACAGTTGGGAAAGCTTGGGTCTGTTTTTTTGGGGTGGTGAGGAGTTTTCTAGAATGTCTTTCATGGATTTTGAAAGAAGAGAAATTGAACAAAAATGTCCGTTCGAAAGGAGACAAGGTATGTGATGAGGACATTTCAATCCAGGATGACATGATCACAGAGGAAGACTGAAATCATGGCCGCAGCAAGGAGGGGTTTTTGTTTTCTGGTTAGTTGACGGGCTGTTGGTCTATGTATTAATGGTGATTTGTATGGGGCCCTAGCTTGGAATTGATTGGGTGTCCATTTTGTTAGTAAGTTGTGTGGGTAGTGGGCTCTCAAAGGGTCTTTGAGACTGTTTTTCTTCTCTTGATGATATCTTATCACCTCTCTGATGTATCTCTTTTATTTTTAATAAATTTTATCTTTATTCTTGAAAAAAATCATTACAACATTGGTTCTTGTTGTTTTGATTAGTCTTCCAGTTTGAAAGATTTCAGAAAATAAGGATAGGTCATCTTATTGGAAGGATTCAGCATTTATTTTTGGAGATGTTAACAGTATTGTACAAAATCATTTTTTGCCTGTTATTCTTTTGTATTTATAGAAAATTTCTTCTGCCTTGTGCAGTTTCTTTAAATATGCAATAGAACTGTTCTCTGTTAACCATTAAGGGAAGAAAAGAAAAAAAAAAAACTGTCAGTGTTTGATTTTTAGTTGCTTCAGTTCCTTCAGTAAATGCATTTTCTTCCTTGGTTTGCTAAACTATGTCGGGACAAGGATTACGAAAAAAAATGTAGCAGAAAAGTTGGCAAATAGAAATTGCAGAATTTCAAATTTGATGTATCCAATTCATTTTCTTTTGTCACAATCAAACTAGATTATCTTTATATTTTTCCTTTGGCTCACAATTATAATCGACCTAGGTTCTTCTATACTGATCAATAAATTATTTATTTATTTTTCTTTAGCTCTGGTTTAATGTTTACTGATTGTGCTATTTGTTATTTCTTACTAAAATTTATTCTTTATTTTGTTATTTCAAGTATCCTTCTTACAGGATACAGTTATATCATCTGTAGTGCTGAACGGTATTTCCTTCCTAGACCTGCATATTTCTTGTTCACACTCTTTCTAATCTGGTTATTGTCACGAGTATTCAACATATTTTCCTCTATATTGTGTATTTGTGTTTAATATAACTTTGATTGTTATGTTTCTCCTATTTTTATTATAACTAATTAATGATGATTTCTTGTCACCATTTTCAATTGAGTAGGTCTATGGGGCTTTGCGTATGTCTATTAAAATGCTCTTGATGTGGAACTCTAAAATGCTCATAGATGGTGGTAGAGCTGCAATAGTTGCCACATCCTTACTTGAGGCTAGCAACTTGATTGTTCTCAAGGTATTTGTCCATTCCATATTTGCCATTTTTCTCCAGAAGATTTTTGATACTGCACTAACATCTGACCTGTTTAACCATATTATATGGCAGGAATCATCTGTCATACACTCTAATGCAAATTTGGGAGTTCATGGACAAGGCTTACTGAATTTATCAGGACCTGGAGATCAGATTGAGGCACAACGTCTCATTCTTTCATTATTCTATAGTATCCATGTAAGTTGAATCTTCTGTCACAATTTATTTATGCATATTACTTATGATGACTGGAAGCCTTCGACATGTTGTTACTCAGTTGTAAGTTGAATTATTGCATCTATAATACCTGGAAAGTGAGTGAACAATTTAAGTGGAAGCAATTTTTTAGTTGTCATGACATTGAACTTTTTTCTTGGATCAGGATATCCAAAATTAAACATATTGTGCTTTCTTTATTTTAATATTTAATAGATTGGTTACAGCATATAGTTGTGTATTTATATGGTATAGCTCTTTCTTTGTACGCTTTATATTTTGAGGGAACCTCTCCCTCCTTTTAATATTTTTTTTTGGATAAGTAATGAAAATTTTATTAATAGCAAAAAGGAGTTACAGTGACATCTTTCAAACCGAGGCTTGATGTGCCCCCATTGCAAACAGAATTACATTTGAGCCACAAACAAATCAGACTTATTCACCCCCTGTTTTGCTAAAAAATCAGCTAATCCGTTTGCTGACCTCCCTTCCCATTGAACAATAATTGTCATATCTCTGATTAGCCATTTAAATCTTTTCATAAAATCCCTATATTTCCAAACCACTGTTTCTGGTTCCTTCAGCCACCCTAGCAATTTGTACTCCTTGTAAGGCAGCTTTGAATTCAGCACACACCGAATCCCCTTCTCCAACAGGGCCTGAAAAAACAGCAGGAATGTGCTCATCAGAATTTCTAGAAACTCCTCCAATGTCAGCTGGCCCTTTAGGCTGTGTTTGTTTGCGATACAAACACAAATATGTACAGTGCAAAAAGGCCCCCAGATCAGTTCACGAATGCAAACTGGGTTAACATTTCTGAGCCCATTTTGTAATGTTGCTGTTTGTTTCTAATTGAAGCAAACACCTGTACATTTTTTCTGGCGTTTGGAAGAAAGCATTAGAGCAAACATTAAATGCTCTACAAATGGGGATATGCTTTCAGATCTGCAAATGGGGTTTACCTGAAATATTGAAAGTAGTGGATATGCTTTCAAAAAATAGTGGATATGCTTTCAGATCTGCAAATGGGGTCTACTTGAAATGTTGAAAGTAGAAGATAATGCAAGATCTGAAGTGTACCTGGGTGCAAAAAATATTAAACGAAGTTAGATTTGTTATGTACCATTGATACATAACTCAGATTTTCCAAAAACAATGGTAGATATGTTACCGATTATGTCAGAGAGGAAGGTCACTGTCTCCGATGGGCAGTGGTTTAGAGTGGACAACACTGGTATGCGACGGGTAGAATGAAGAACACCAGAAAATAGTAAGCACAAATTTACAAAAATAAGGCAGTGGTCAGTAAAAAAATGGGAAATCATGTTTACTGGTCATATTCGATGGATTTTTAGTGAGATCTGTTGTCGCCGTGGCAGGAAATAGACGATGATAACTTACCGTTGTGGTAGGGTTTAGCAGTGATGGCGACCACCTCCCATGATGATCGATGCATCCATTAAGCTTGTTTACTCTCTCTTTGAAGAAAGAAAATATTTGTATCGAAAAAATCAAATACGGAAATGTCTCGATTTCTCGAAGTGAAGCTGTCAGAAAATACAATTTCCCACCGTTTTATGATGCAGAGATGTATTGCAAACAACCGCCTACAAACCTGAACCGGAGTACATAAATGTACCGGTTTTGCGTTTGTATCGCAAACAAATGCTGCCTTGATAAAACCTTCTCCCGGGGGGGGGTCTGGACTGTAATTGGTTTATCCTTCCTAACAGAACTTCTTGCTACAGCTTCCTAATTTCCCCCTCTCCCCACAAAAAAAAAAAGACCTCCAGAAGAAACAAAATTTTGTGCAACCATAGAGATATATTTGGTAACTCAAATTTCTTTAATGGATCATCAACACAAAGGCTATTTTGATGTTTAGAAAGATTAATAGGTCATTTTCTTTTTTCTTGACTTGATAATATAGTATGATATCTACCATTTTTTTTGTTTGGACTCTGAAAATGCTATTACTCAATTGTATGTGACATGCGGAATTACCGTTTGCAGTACCTTATGCACATGCTCATGGAATGGAGCTTCTCTGTTTCACATGTAGGTTGGACCTGGATCTGTTCTGCGAGGTCCTTTGGAAAATGCAACCTCTGATGCCTTGTAGGTTTGGAGTTATATGATCCTTCATGTACTATTTTCATTGTTTCTTAACTGAATTTTTCTCTTTTGATATGTGGTAGGACACCAAAACTCTACTGTGAATTCCAAGATTGCCCTATAGAACTACTTCATCCACCAGAAGATTGTAATTTGAACTCTTCGTTGTCCTTTACCCTTCAGGTGGTACTATTGGTTTTATAATTAGCCACAGTTTGAGATGGTTAAAATTATTCATTATGGTAATTTCTCTATGTAGATCTGCAGAGTTGAAGATATTATTGTTGAAGGCCTCATAGAAGGATCTGTTATTCATTTCCATAGGGCAAGAACTGTAGTTGTCCAGTCCTCTGGTATAATAACCGCATCTGGGCTTGGTATGTTTTCTGGCTCTCATTTTTTTTAGAATGACTGAAGGAATACTTTATTTTTATTATCTGACAAACAATCCACCTTTTGGACTTGAATTAACTTCTACAAGAAGTTTTAATTGAGTGCTTGCAGGATGCACGGGTGGTGTAGGTAGAGGTATAGTTCTGGGCAATGGGGTGGGCAGTGGTGGTGGGCATGGGGGTAAAGGTGGCGATGGATATTGTAATGGCAGTTTTATTGAGGGTGGTGCTGCTTATGGAAATGCTGGCCTGCCTTGTGAACTTGGTAGTGGAAGTGGAAATGAAAGCATGGGCAGTTCGACTGCTGGTGGTGGTATCATAGGTAAGCCTATGGTTTTACTTAACCTTGACCATTTTCTGCGCACTATTATTACTTTTTAATGTTGCAAAGCTGCTATTTTTCAAACCCTTCTTTTTGTACTTAATGTGGTAGTTGGATCTAGTGTAAGTTGGGTGCCTGATTTGGGCCCAGGTCCTTGAACCAGGCTCATTTAAATTTTAACAAGTTCTCAACCATCCATGTTGCACTCCTTTTTAAGCTCTATATTGGAGAGCCTGAGATCAACAGCAAGTGCTTCTGCTTTACTTTCACTCTCAAGGTCTCCTAAGTTTTTCAGTTACTGAGTGACTTTTTGTGAAGGTGAGATGGAAGGTCTCCTGCTGACATTGATTGACATGGTTGAGGGGAAGACAATGTATATTGTCACTCTAGGCTGTAGATCAGGCCACAAACATGCAAAAGCTCCCAAGAGTTTTGCATGTCTGTGGCTGCAAAAGCTCATTGATACTCTATGGTGTTGGAAGGAAACCATATCGTGTGAAGTGTTGGAAGGTGATGAAGGGCAAGGTCTAGAGTGATAACAACATGGCCTGTATGGTCACACACTGTAAAGGGAGGTTCTCTCCTTTTCTTCACAAACACAATTACACTGCTTTTTCTCAACAAAAAAAAAGGACACCATGGCCTGTTGCAACCCCAACATGGCAGAGGGGGAGGTAGCTTCCAGAGGCAGAGGAGTCAGATCTCTTAGGGGCTTGACACTGTGTCAGACAGACAGACATGTGGCAATCGAGAAGCAGAGAGTTACCATGTTAAAGCTTGGTCGTGGTGTCATGCAGGAGCAATCACAAGCATAGATCAAAAGAAGGGAACCAAGTGAATTGTAGATTGGGGAGAAGGGAGGTCAGAGAGAGGCTTCAAAATTCGAACAACAGGCAGACCATCAAATAGTCAGTCATGACATGTCTGCAGAGGATCTTTCCTGATAAAGTGGATGGTCAGAGCACCTCTAAGGAAGAGAACAGTAAAGAGGCTTTTTTTATTGGAAACGGTAACTTTCATTAAAAATAGCAGTTAATCATTATACACTGTCAACACTCAGGGTATAAGTGTTGACCTCAATCAATTTCAATAATTACAACACAGCCCAAAAAAAGGTTTTTCCTGAAGGTCCCCTGCTTTGCCAAAGTATCGGCTACAGAATTGGCTGACCTCCTTACCCACTTGAAAATTACTCCAACTGTCCAACATCCCTTGCCAAGCAAAGTATTTCCCTCATTTGTTGTCTAAAAGTCCATACACCCAACCTTGTAGTAGGGCCATAATTTCAGCTCTCAGAGAATCTCCCACACCTATGGGGCCAGAATATGGTGCTATCATCCTGCCCTCCACATCTCTGAAAATTCCCCCAGCTCCAGAGGGTTCTGGATTACCCAAAGAGCTTCCGTCAAAGTTCAATTTTACCCTTTGTTGTGCTGCAGGTGTCCAATAATGCTGAACCAGACTGTGTAGTTGAAGAATTTGCCACTACCGACCATCCCCTAAGGATATCCTCTACTGAAAAGTCTTTGAACAAGTCAGTTACTTTCGGCCAGTGTGTGACTTTAATGGCTTGGCGAGTGGAGAACCATAGATTTATGATACTCGAGGCAAACTAAGATACCAATGTTGTGGATCTGGTTATTTTGGAGCATGTACTGGGCCCATCAAGCCAAACTTAGAAGGGGAAATTTTAAATCAGGCTTCTTTCTTTCCAAGAGACTAAGATGCAACAATTGAACTCGAATATAGTTAGGAGTATGGGGGCCACCCATTTAATTGGGTGTTCATCCTAGAAGGTTGGATGGGTGGTCGTGTGGCAGTAGTATGGGTTACTATCATGATCTGAGTAAGGAAGTAAGTCAATTTGCGATGTTTGTTCAGTTTCAGAACCAGGAAAGCTTTGCATGGCCGTTATCAACAATTAATGGCCTGCAAGATTACACCTCAAGAGAGTTAATGTGGGAGGAGTTGAACGATGTGGGGAGCAAATATTTGATCTCTTGGGCTTTGGGGGGAGGTTTTAACACCATCAAGTTCTTATGCACACAAAAAAAGTGGGGGGGGGGGTGCCAAGATGGACAGAAGGATGAGACAATTTGCTGAATTTGTAAACAGGTTGAAATCATTGGAATTTCCTCTCTAGGTGCACATTATACTTGAACAAACAACCAGCCTTAGCTTACACTAGTGAAGCTGGAAATATTCTTAATATCAAGTGATTGGGAGGAGAAGTTTCCAGAAGTGGCACAAGAAGTAACGCCAAGGCCTTCATCTCATGCCATGCCTATCATTCTGGATTATGGAGGAATCGTTAGCAAACCTTCACCCTTCAGCTTCAAAGATATGTGGTTGGAAGAAGATGGTTCCATGGATCTGGTCTAGGGTTGGTTGCAGTCTATGAATTTTAATAGATCAACTAGCCATGTGATGAGTTTGAAGCTGAAAAGGCATAAGGACAAAATCAAAACACAGAAAAGGAAATGTTCAAGGTGATTGAAATGAAGAAAAAACAAATGCGTCAGTATTATCTTAAAGGTAGATAAGAAAGAAGAAAAGGGGTGAGGCAAATGAGGATAATAGAAAGATGACTGCATCTGAACTTAGTTATTATAAACTAGCCATTCAAGATGGGATAAAATGGAGACAGTGGTTGAGGGTATTTTGGTTGAAAGAAGGGGATCAGAAATTCTCCTTTCTCCATAAGGTGGCAAATGCTAGGAGAGTGAACACCATTAAAAGGCTCTTAGTCAATGGACAGGTAGTGGAGGAAGACGAGATGCCAGATAGCTTGCTGTTAAGGTTTTTGGCTAGTTAGCAGGCAGTAGCAAAGACTTGGGTTTGAATCCCACCTTCACCAGGTTGGGGGCTCCGGGCTCTTGGGGTTTGGGGGATGGCTACTCCATTGTGTAGCCCATTTACCTACCAAAAAGGGTGGTGGGAGAATAGTGGAGAATAGAGGTCATCATTACATTTTACAAAAACTCATAGGAGGAATGGAAGCATAGGCGAAAGTGGGTATGGGTATGGGGGCATGGGCATGCATATGGATATGGGCATGACGTATAGACAATGCAATTGGATAAGGACTTCTTGAAGGAGGAGATTTGTGAGGTTATTCATGTTATGGGAAGGGACAAAGCACCAGGTCCAAATAGCTTCTTGATGACTTTCCTTGAGAAAGGAGGGGAGTTCCTCAAATAAGATCTAAAGTAGATTTTTGATAAATTTCACCAGTTCTTATTTGGAAAGAAGTTCAAACTCTACTTTCTTGACTTCAATTCCCAAGAAGGGTGGAGGGCTGTCGAGCTCAAAGACTTTTGACCGATAACCTTAATCAGGGATATATACAAAATTATGGCCAATGTGTTAATCATGAGCTCAATAATATCAAAATTGCAAAGTGTACATTCGGGCCAAAGTGAACTGGAGTATTGGACTTCTCCTTACATGAGTTGATTGGATAGGTTTCGGGTCAAGGTGGAGAAATGGGTGAAGGTGTGTGTAACCTCTTCTTTAGCAGTGCTAATAAATGGGAGTCTACATGGAAGATTTTACAATTCGAAAGGAATTTGGCAAGGTGACCTTTCTCACCTTTCCTGTTTATTGGTATTGTTGTAGCCCTTAATAAATTGACAGTGTGAGCTAGTACTTATCTAAAAGGGGTAAGTTGGTGCTCATTAAGAGCATTTTGTCTTTCTCCCCATGTATCATGTATTCCTCTTTCCTAGTGCAAGAAGAAGAAAGGGTTCGTTCTAGAGAAGACAAGTTACTCTCTCCTAGCCAACCCACTTGTATTTATATTTTATATAAGTTGAATTACAAAAGACAGTATTGTCCCTCATTAAGTATGGGACACATAACTTAAACAAAACAGATCATTCACTCTCAACTAGATAGACAAATGACCAAAATACCCTTGTACTATCGACTCTAACAGTTAGAAAGAAGTATGAGAGATTTCCTATGGAAGAGTTGGAAAGTTGATTCTAAGTTCCACCTTGTTGGTTGGAAAATGGTATGTAGTTGAAATAAAGTCAGTGGCATTGGGGTGGTTGAAAACTTATGGATGCTTAATGTTGTACTACTTGGGAAGTGGTTCTGGTGGTTCAACATTCAGCAATACAACTTGTGAAGGTAGGTCATTGCTTCTAAATACAGGCAAGAAACTCGGACTGGAATCCCGATGGGTTCTTAGTATGTTATAGTGTTCTCTGCCCACTTTTCTTGGCTGAAAATGAGATAACAAGTGACTTATTCCTACTTTGTCTTGTTACCTCTAACATCTCAGTAGTTGCTTTTAACACATTTAGTGGAAAGGATAGTGTCAAACTTGCACGTTATCTCATTAGCATTTGGAGGATGCTTCTCCACTTTGTTCCTTTTGAGAAGAAACTCCATGTGCTTTGAAATGCACAAACTCTCAACTCGCTCCATTGACCAAACGAATATCCAAAAACAAGGTTTTTAGTCTTTATGGACCTAACTGAGGTCAGTCCAGTACCTGAAGGTCCTAAATCTAGGGTTTCACTGCACTTGGCTTCCGGGGAGAAAGAGAGAAGAAGCAACCGCTCCTACCAGAGCTTCCTAAACTTCTTCCAACTGCAACCACCCTCTTCTAGAGATAAAAAGGAACCTCAAAGCCTTAAGCGTCACACTCAAACTATCTCTCTAACCTGTAATTGGAAACTCTCTAGTGGGCTAGGGTTTTGGGCAAAAAACAGCAGCCTCACTTTCTTGGCAGTCTACAGTCAGATTCTAACTCTCCAAACCCTCTACCAACTAGGCATAAAAGCTCTCTGAACAATCAACAACTTATCTCTCCATACACTCTTCTAATCAAAGGGTGTATGGGAAAAGAAAGAACAATGAAACAAAGAGAAGGAAGGAAGACTTGCTCTGATACCAAGATGTGATTTAATCCAATAAAGTTCCGCAAAATAATTTCAGATTTAAGAAAGGGAAGAAAGAAAAGAGAAAGACAACAAGGAAGAAGAAGATGA